TTTCCTTATTTGGGGCCCGTTTCTTTTTTCGTGCACCTAACCTCTCACTGCGTTCAGTTTCTGACATGCTATCCTGGACTTCCTCAAGAACATTTCGACTTTCCGCCACAATGGCCTGGCATGTTTTATACAACAAAACTATAAGTGCTCCCAGAATGATAACCAAGGCCTCAAAGCTACCTTTCCAAAGCGGAAACAGGTTCAAGCCAAAGTCCAGAAAAAACATACCTCTCTGAACGTCCTTACCTGCAGTTCTGAATCCTCCTTGAACTCAAGGGGTCTCCGATGGTGCTGACGATGGTTTGGTTGAATTCCCGGGTCTCAGCACCAGTTGTCCTGCGCTATCGTCTCGCCAGCAAGAACGACGCGGCACACTCAGGATCCTTCTGCAGAAAAGCTTTAATGCATCTTGAGAGGGAGAGCATAAGCTTACAGGGTGAAGACCCCGAATGTCGGAAACCCAGCCCTTATATAGGTTAGTAAGCCCGTCTTGGACGTGGCTACTCTTGATTGGTCGCAAACTCATCAGCCCATATCACGCCACGAGGTAGGCAGAGACTAGAAGGTGGAAAATTACTTCGGGCATGCGTACTGACTTATTTACTGCTCAGCATGAACCAGATGTGAGCGCCATCTTGTAATGGCGTCTGCAGGGACGGCAGGCGGCTCCCCACAATTAGAAGATTTTGAATAATCCTAACACAAGTAAATGCTCAACATTTAAGATGAGGAATATGTTACTTCCTCCAAATTAATCAAAGCATTCAGTACATGTATCAAAATACCACATAGTATCCCATAACGCTGAACAATTATACACAATTTTTAAAATATTTTATTTATTGCCAGGCGTGGTGGTGCATGCCTTTAATCCCAGCACTTGGGAGGAGGCAGAGGCAGGAGGATCTCTGTGAGTTCAAGGCCAGCCTGGTCTACATAGTGAGTTCCAGTATACAGCTGGGACTAAACGGAGACCCTGTCTCAAAAGACCGAAAAAATTGTTTATTTATTATTATTTTTATTGTATTTGTATGAGTGCCTGCATGTATGTAAGTTCAGCCATATTGTGCAATGCCCACCAAGGTCAGAAGAGGGCATCAGATCCCCTGGAACTGGAGTTACAAGGATGGTTGTTAGCCATCATGTGGGTGGTGAGACTTGAACCTTGGCCTTCTGCAAGATCAACCAGTGCTCTTAAATGCTGAGCCATCTCTCCAGCCCCAGCAAATTTAAAAATAATAAAAATGAAATTGACCGCACAAAACTACAATATTAGATTGCATTTCAAAATGTTCCTATTTTAAAAATTAGAGAGAAACTTGCGAATAAAATAATAAAGATCTCCCAAATGCTCAAAGAAAAGAAAATTTAAATAGATGTTACTTTTGGTTTTTAAAATTGTCCTAAAACTTGCATACCTGAAACAATATTCGGGGTACAACCTATGTACAGGTAAGGCATAGCTCAAGAACATCTCAGAGAATGAGAAGAACGAATCAGATATAATCTAATGTAAGGTTCTTGTTATGCCATTTGTAAAGTAAAATAGTATTATTTCAAAGACAATGAGAAACTCTAGTGCAGAATTAAAAGAGTAGCAAAAGAGGTGCAAGACATAAGCCAGTACACAAAGAAAAAGAGAAAAATAAAAACAGATCAAAGGCAAGCACCATGTGAAATCATGATGCTTTGGGGGACTGTTAATACATCTGGTGAAGATGGTGACTATAGATATTGTGCGGTAAGTGGAGGATCAGAGAAACCAGGAAGGGCATAAAGAGGCTTCAAGTCTTCATTATGGAACACATCGTAGAGATTTTTAAAATTAATTTTTAAAAACTATTATATAAATTATTTCATTAGGAGATTTTCAGATAATGCAGTACGAAATCAACTCATGAAATGAACTGATAGCCATCAATGAACTGAGTAAGAATATACAATAAAACTTTATACATGGCTTTTGAATCATCTCAAAAGAAACCCCTACTTTAAAATACTTTTGAGACACAGTGAGGTCCACTGTCTTATGCCCACATAATTGAACTGACCTTTACACGGCAACCAAATAGTAAGGTGGTTGACCTTACTCGACACTTGACTTCACATGGTACTTCACTTATAGACATGTGATCTGAATTGGTCTGTCAGTTCTCTTCATGGGGTACCTATCTATGTTCTCTGTCTCCAGATGTAATGATGATTGACTTCTCTAGTTTCTCTCCTCTGGAGATAGATACTTTGATAGAGAGATAGTAAATTTTTACATCTATATAAAAGCTATTTACTTGTTAATTGAGTGGATAGATATAGTCTCTATGCCATAATGACAGTCTAATGCTGATAAAAACATAACTTATTGTAACATTAAGGTCTTTTTCAGTTACAAAGAAGGCTAGAGAAACAGAATCTTGAAGCCATGACTGGCTCATGCAATTTTATACACAGAAAACAGGTGAACAATGCTTCTCTGAATCTGCTTGATATTGATGCTATAAATGACGGGGTTCATGAATGGAGGAAAAAGAAAGTAGATGTAGCTCATGGTGATATGCACCACATGTGGAGCATGCTTCCCAAACCTGTGGATGAGGGTCAGACCGATCACAGTGATGTAGAACACCAGGACACAGCTAATGTGAGAGACACACGTGTTGAGGGCCATACCTCGCTCCTCTCCAGAGGCGATGCCCAGAATGATCTTCAGAATGAGAACATAGGAGAAGACAATGATCAGAGCATCTAGGAAGAAAGTTAAGGCAACCAGAACAACTGGATACAGGCAGTTGAAGGTGATGTCAGCACAGGCAAGTTTCATGACTTCTTGATGGAGGCAGAAGGTGTGGGAAAGAACATGGGAACCGCAATATGGGAACCAAAAGAGAGGCAGGATCAGGGGTATGAGAGATAAAAAGGCCCTCAACACTACACCAAGCCCTATCTTTATCACTCTAGAATTGGTAAGAACAGAGCTGTACCACAGAGGTATGCAAATGGCACGGCGAGTAAGACTCCTGATTCTACAGTGGAAAGGGAGTGAATGATATAGGCCTGTAAGAAGCAGGCCCCACTCCGTATCGCCCTGTGATTTACCCACAAGACCCCCATTACAGTGGCCATTGTGGTCAATGTAACCGTGAGGTCTGTGCCAGCCATCATGGCAAGGAAATAGTACATGGGTTCATGCAGGTTGAGGTCATCCTTGATGAGGTAGAGGAGCATGCCATTGCCCAGAAGCACAGAGACGTAGATGGCAAAGAAGGGGATGGAGATCCAGGGATGTGCTGCCTCCAGACCTGGGAAGCCAGTCAGCAGGAAGGGGCAGCACTGACATTGGGCCACATAATATAACCACCATGAAGCTCAAAGCCCAGTTTCTTTTTTATTAATATTGTCTTACACTCCCTCTGCATGGAAATATTTCATGACTGCCTCAACCACAATATTCATTTTCAATGATACTTCATAAGTACATCAAACACATTTTTATAGCATCATGCCCTAATCTGTTGTGTATATTCTACAATGTTCTAACCATTACAAAACAAAGATGATCAATATATACACATGGATACTTACTAATTTTCTTTCGTTACACTGATGTCTGTTTGTAAAACTTTTGCTGTAGTTAAATTTGAATTTCTTTTATATTTTACATTCATAAAAGAGACTTAGTCTTTTTTAAAAAGAAAACTTTCCTTAGTTTAATGTTGCAATTTTATGGCGGTGTTTTGTTGAATTCTCCCAAAAGCCAGGATCCCTCTATGGAGAAAAAGGGATATAGTTAGAGGATGTCACATATAATCTAAAAGTATTTATCATTCTCTTCAAGTCCATGCAAGGGTCATACAATACACTTGAACTTCCAAATCTTCATTGATATGCTTTCTGAAATAAAAAAGGAGAGTCTGGTAGTCCATGTATTCTGTGTCTCACTCTGAAGGCATCTAGAAACTGCCTCTAGTCTTCTGACTGCATCTCACAGCAGATAAGAGACGAGTCTTTCCTGATTTCTGGCCCTGGCACTCCACTCACAGACAACATAATTTTGTTGTTACATTGGGACCTACTCCTGATCAGTCCAGACACCTTCTGCTCTGAGACTTTTGAAGATGCCAGGTTAGAAGATATATACAAAGATCTCATCTCTCCAGAGTCTTGTCTTACCTGGATCTCCTTCCCTCTGCTTTCAGCCCCATTACCAAAGCCCTCAGGAATTTTTGGCATTTTCTCCAAGGCCAAACTGAAGACTCAAACAGCTGGTGACACCGGTGATGCCCCAAGATTGTTAGCATCATGGTCTAATGAATATAAGTGTGCGCTTTTCCTGTTATCTTTCTCAAAGACCCAAGGGATGCTAATGACTCTTAGGCTCCCATGTACCTTTTTTGGTCGTGGAGTTTATGATTCCAGTAAATTTTGTCTTCCCTGATTCCTTGGAAAAAAATGAGTTCTGATGCATAAGAACCTCACTGGCTCTATTAACAGCCATGTGAATGTAGTCCATCTAACATTTTTCACAGGATCCCTTTATGTTCACATATTTTCCCATTCTGTGTCATGTTCAGGGTAATGGGGTTGCTCTATTCATTAATAGGGCTTGCACATTCACTGGGTGGTGGAAAAAGTATTTAGCATCAATTTATATAGCAGTGTCATTTCTGAATATATATGTATATAATATGTGTGTATGTAGATGTGCTTGTGTGTGTGCATGCGCACTAAGAGGAGTACACTGAATATATACTGGAATACTGGTATACTGAAATCTAGGGAAAATCTCCAGAAAAGGATCAGTAAATTAAATAATGAAAAATTAGGAGCACGGGAAATGCTAGTTCAATACAAAGAAAGAAACATAGGATCAACATCCATGCTAGCATGGGATGAGACAAAATATGACAAACTTGAATAGGAATAAATCTGTACTACCCATACTAAGGTATATTATTGCTATAGTAAAGAGTATGAGATAGTTCAGATTCTGACCACGCATTATCAGAAATCATATGAAGGGTTTGATATGACTGCGAATGTGTAACAAAGGCTGAGGGGCATGATCACAACCAGACTATTGTTATTTAACATCAATTGAATGTAGTGTGAACACTTGAAAAGGCAGAGGGAATAAGAATATTAGGATGCAGTAAACATATGAGGAGGCATGATGGTTGGATTACGACCAGGTGCTAGCAGCGCGGTTTAGACAGACAAGCATAGATTCTGTGACTTAGAAAGCATAGAGCCAGGTGATAGAAGATGGTAGATTAATGAACAATAATAGATAGAAGGCATCTGAGTATCTGATTCTGGTCAATGGAAAGCTGCTATGTTCATCTGAATAGAGATCACAGGAATATTTCAGTAGATCATCTGTTATGTTTGTAATGAGTACCGCTTTGTGGGATATACTTGTTTAAAAGGGGGAAATACTTTCATTTCGGGTACTGTGTGTCTTTAGAATTCATGTAGAGACATTCCTTAGGTAGTTTTCTGCAGTTATAGGTAAGTATAAGAACAGAAGAGTCTAGATGATCAATGATGAGGTACCACTGGCAAGTATTTCAATTTCCTAGAACCCGTTGTACGGGGGCTCTGAGGCAAACAGACCTCCAACTGCACTGTGTTCGGAGCTCTACAGCTCAGCTTCACCTGCAAGGTGAGGGTGACAGTTGTTGAAAAGATTGTTGTGAGAACGAGTAAACATGCTGAGGAATTATTTCAAAGTTTAAATGAGTTAGTATATGTTAGTGCATAGCACAAATACTGAAAACTATTTAAAACTTAATAAAAGAAAATGGTATTTTTCAATTCATGAAGAGTGACAAACGTGGAAGAGGTCGTAAAAGGGAGAGCAGTGTTAAGATAGTGGGTCAGGGCTGGAGAGATGGTTCAGCGGTTAAGAGCACCGATTGCTCTTCAGAGGACCCAGGTTCAATTCCCAGCACTCACATGGCAGCCACAAACCGTCCTTAACTCCAGTTCCAGGGGAATCCGAAGCCCTCTTCTGACCTCCACAGCATTGCACGACACAGGTGCTCTCATGTACATGCAGGCAATACACTCATACACATAAAAAATAAAAATAATAAAATATTTTTTTAAAAAGATAGTGGGTCGAAGGCCTGTAAAATGAACCCATAGGTTCCAACTCTGTTTGTGAAGTAAGACAGAAAGATATAGGAAACAGGACGATGCACTGAAGGTTCTGTTTTGTAGAAAAATGTTCTCACAGTAATTAAGGGAGCGAAAGGGTTGTGATTATTTTCAAACACATTATAAAACTCAGTGATATAATTGGCTACATATTTCTTCCCATGGCAGAATAGCATAGTTACTATGCCATCTTCTGGTTATTTTTCTCCTTAACTATGTTATTATTAACACTTGTCAAACACTCCATTATTCATTTTTGTTAATGATAATATTAATATTAGTAAATTGAATAAGTATGTTTAGACAAAAATACTGATAGAATATTCACAGGCTACATTGTTTCCAATTTTTACACTCAAAGCTCAGAAATTAAATGACTTATTTAAAATTACTCACTCATTAAATGAAGGGGATAGGAACTTTGTCAAAGTTCAAATTACATTTACCACACTGTAGAATTTCTTTTAAACAGAATTGTTAAATACGATATTGAAAATGATAGCATTCAGCTCTAAGCCAGGAAAGAAACATGGTGATGTTCTCTGTCATTATCGTTTAAAAATAAATAACAATTGCGTTTATTAAGCATAAATTAGTAAAAGCAAAATCACAAGGAATTATGATTAAAGTGTTAGCCTTGTAATGTATTATGGCTTCCTTTATGTCATAGCATAAATGTTGCTATCTACGAGGGCTTGGGGAAAAGGCTATATCCTGTAACAGAACTAAAAAATTATGTCTGTCTAGGGATGTGACAGCCTTAGGGTTTTCTCTGAGTTCTATGACCTCTTCAGCAGTGTGTATTTGGCTATGCTTGTAGAGCCACACGTGTGTTATCTCCCATTGAGCAGGCTTTAAGTTCAATTAGATAGCTGTTGATTATCCCCAAGATAAAAGTGCCATTTCTGTCCCTCTAAAGTTTGCTGTACCAGTCATTCTTGTGGTTATTAGACTTTAAAGCTGGGGTTAGACCACTAATTATAACAGAATGTCTTAATAATGTGGTATAATTATCTGCACTGATTGGTAAACACAATTTCATTTATATTCTTGCTTTTCATTTCTCAGTTTCGGATTTCATATTTTAATTACACTGTAAGCAAATACAGGCCGTATCTGTTGGTGCTTCTGTACACACTCATTAATACTGAACTATCTTTTCTAATTTAATCTTTGCCATTGAATACATTCATAGACACTAATATTATGCCTCAGCTTTTGTGTGCTTTCCCATGTATCTTTTATTAATATTTTATTTATTATTTTTATTTTATGTGTATGACTGTATTGCCTGCCTGTATGTGAGCGTACCCATGTGGTGAAATGCCACGGAGGTCAGAAGAGGGCATCGGATTCCCCTACAGCTGGAGTTAAGGATGGTTCATAGTGGCCATGTGGGTGCTGGGAATCGAACCCGGGTCTTTTGCAAGAGCAGTCAGTGCTCTTAACCACTGAGCTATCTCTTCAGTCCCCCCATGCACCTTTTAAGTATACTGTACGTACAGAAATGTGAATACGCTGTAAATGTGTACTTCAATGAATTTTCAGGTGTGGAACCTATCTGTAACTAGCACTGTGTTCTGCAGTGGAACATGACTCATGCTTCCTATTACCCCCTAGGCACCCCCTCACCACTGCCACACCCAGAGCAGCTAACTGCCTATAGGGCAGCAACCAACTATTACATTTGCCTGTTTTACTAATTTAAGTGGAATAACACAAACATTTGTTGCTGTGGTTTTGTTTGCATTGTTCAACATTTTTTAAGGTTCCTTGATGTTGCAATACAGTCATATGTGTAATCCATTTTCATTGACTATAATATTCATTATGAAAATAAGCAACAAAGTGTCATCTATTTGTCTGTTGATAGATATTGGAGCGATATGTGGTTTGGGGCCATTACTGATAAGGGTCATGTAAATATCCCATGTATGCCTTTAGTAAACACACAAAACTGAATTCTTTCTACTGATTCGAGATGTAAACTGTACATAACTTCAGCATTACTTCAAGTTGCTCAACGTCTTTGTGCAGAATGCTACTTTTAGTTATTCGGTGATGAACGGAATTCCAGTTGTGCTACATCGTCACCAACACTTGATACTGTCCTGTTCCCACTTCACTCACTCAGTTGGACACGTTCTTGTGTTTTAAATTGCATTTACTTGACCACAGATAGAAATTG